GGGGTGTGTTGTGTATTCGAGAAAAAGGACCTGTCTCGGTCGCCTTCTCATATCTGATTGGCTCGAGTATGGGTTGGAGTTGATCGTCGCACAAAGGGTACAGTACCGGTTCGTTTCTCTTCAAATTTATGGCAATTTCGGTCGGATTTTCTATGGAATCGTGCTGTTAATGGTCGTGGGAATGTGCATGTTGTCTCCGGGAACGTGTATGTACCGTTTTTATCAACACATTGAGGCCGTTTTACAAGTTTCTGTCGTGTTTTATCAGCCAGTCTGGCGGTGGTACGACCGACTGACCGACCGACCGGTTGAGGCTTTTTCGTATTTTGCAATCAGGGGCTAGCCTACTTGAAAACATGACCGTGGCGATGTGTCAGATTACAATAGAATGTGGGGGCGATTCATACAAACCACCATATATCCTTCTCGTTTTTCACTCGTCTGTTTTTCACTTTTGGTTGTACTTGTAGTAGTGGAAACTGTGTAACTGTAAATCAATCGCTACATACACAACCAAAGTTTCGGTAATCCTGTCTGGATATATTATAACAGCCAGCACTGAAAGTGTAGACAGATCTTTTTGAATTGAAAATTGCGAACGAGTTTTATTTTCTGTAAGTGGACCTTTTACATACACGGCCACGGCGACATCATGAATTACAACACAGCGCTGAAGGATAATTCACTTGTGACGCCTCAGAACCCCTAGGAGATTTGCCCCATTCATAGGTATACGATTATGCCAGGCGGCCTTTAGTGGTATAGGCAGAACGACACAAAGACCATCGATTTATAAATACGTGCGTGCCTAGGTTGTTAACTTAAATAGACCCAGCGCTGCAAAGGCTGGACTAGCTGATAAAAACACACACACACACACACACCAGAAACAGGAGACGAGAAATCAGCTCCCAAATATTAAAAGTTGAAGTCATCCAGCCTTAAACGAGTTAAATGAACCCCTCATTGTTGTTTCCCCTCTATTAAAAGCTCAATATCCCCCAAATATTTTGCATGCTTGTTAATCATATATGATGTACACTGTGGTATTACAATCCAAATATCCATAAATATAATAATTATTTTTACCCTCTTTTGCCCTTTTGCAGCTGTGACCTGAATTTGAAATAATGTTTGTTGATTAAATACATGCGTATCCACTCAGGCAGCCTGTGGAATTCTCATGGATATGCCATCCTATCTAGCCAAAAGAAACAAGGTAACGATAATGCTTATTTTTTATGTAGGTGTACTGAGATGCTTTTGTTAGAAAAAAAAAAGTTAACAAAGAGACAGACATTTTTTTTATGTTTGTAATGTTCATTTGTGTACAGTCATACATTACTGCTGTCTGCAGGGGTCAACTGGAAAATTTTATTTGTAGAATTGTAAAAAAAAGGGCAGACTAGGTAGTGTTAGTAATGAAAAGGAAGTGGATGAAAAACTCTGATACGGCATTGCTGTATCATAAACCGGCTGAAGTGTAAACACATTACGGTACTGAGGAAACAAAAAAAAAACTTTGCAAATTGCATGCAGGGCAGTTCACCATGACTTAGTGGTTGGTATGTACTGTACATGCTTACCAAGCAAATAAGCCATGCTAACTCTTGAGCAATGTACAATAAATGTCCTCTGAGTTGATTGGTCAATGTTTATGAGACTGCCTCTCCAAATGTGGGTGTTAGAAAATAGCCTAGAGCGGAATAAAGAAAAGAAAACTCTCAAGTTATCTGCTACAGACAGCCTTGTGGTCAAAAAAGAATAAAACTCCTTCTGCCTTGGAATGTTGTTTGGAAATGCAGTGACATTTTTTTTTTTAATTTGCATTCATTATGTGTGAGAACATAGGGGCTTTCAATGTAATATGTCAGTCTGATCCACTGTCACCCCCCTGAGTTCACAAGAGAATACAGTTAGAATTGAACACAATAGGGAACGACTTTGCCAAATGACCAGGTCTTTTTTGGTTGCTGTCCTCCTTAAAGTAGAATTTGTCATTCACACTCCCACGAATAAAGTAAAAAAATACTGTTCTTTCATCAAAACCTGACATGTCTGTTGTTGCCATGGCAACGTCTCATCCCTGGTATGAGAGTTCAAGCTGACAATGGTTATGAATAGAGAACTGTCCAGTATACCAACACACATGTATTTGCCCAATATATGACTTTATGCACTTTGTAATTTACTATTTTTACTACCCAGTGAAGCGATCTTTCCTTCAACCATTCCTTGAAACATACAGTAGTATCCTTTCACCTAGAAGAAGAAAAATTGCTCCCCTGTTGACATGTTAAAATCTATATTTCAATTTCCCATTTTTTTGTTCTTTGCTGGCTTTGTAGGTCTTTTATATTGTTGGTGTTGATTTTGTTGTTGGATGGGCTCTACTATATATATATAATAAACCTAGGCAAACAGTCAAAACATTTGACAGTTAACAAACTATTACTCATTATTTGTTGAGATCAGTATTGGCATGACCTTCATTGTCTTACCAAAGCAATATACTGGTACTCCAGCTTCATGATAAAAAAAAATTCCATGTCATGGTATTTTTGCGTTTCACTCCCATTTACATTAACCATGGAAGTAAAAAAGCATGCATTAACCTACTCCTGTTTTTGTGTAAGATTTTATTTTACTGACATGTTCCTGTTAACTACCAATAGTCGCAGCTATATATATTGATTTACTCAACAACATACTACTTAAGACATTATTTTGAGTTTTATGTACACTTAAAATTTAGATCAATGTTTTTTTTAACTAGTGGCAGTTTCACAGAGACTTCCACTTCCTCTTCTACCCCTTCTTGTTTTTCATGCTTAGTTTAACCTTTCGAGATGTCGTTAACACAATGTCAATGGTAAAGGGGAAGCTGTAAGTCCCAGGGAGTGAATGTACCATGAAATTGAAGGGTACCATTGTTTATGCTATGTTTACAATGCTTATCATTTTTTTTTTCTGTTTTATTTTCTCATTGTACTTTTATTTAGTTAATGAGATGTGCTGTCAGATAACTAAAAGAACTGCTCCATGATTAAATCAAGCTGCCATTTTAGTACCTGCATGTGTCCAAGGAGATTGAATTATCCAGATATTTCTGTTGTCTCATTCAGAAAGCGTTCACACTTTGTTTAGGAGACTTAAAAGAATTAGCCCCCTGGAATTAGCCTTAGAAATAAGACTCACTGTTGTTTAAAAATATCCCTTACAAAGTAAAAAAGAAAAATCAGTACTATTGTTTTCCCACTAATGTTTTCGATGGCAGCATTTTGGGGATATTCGTAAATAGGCTCTTTTTTAGTAACTGTGTGCAGATTCATCAGTACAGGGGTGTTTTTTTTTTTTTTTGTCAACTGCTACCATCAATCAAATTAGGTAAACTGTTGTGAAGCTATAGTAACTATACACACAGCTTTTTAAAGCCCCCAGCCAATTGAAGCCTCCAATTGGCTGTTACATTTAAAAATACTTATGTCAACAATTAATTGCCTATCTACCCCACTTGCCTTTTGTTAGTAGCCCCAGCACTGTGGCAACCTCACACATTCAGCCTTTCAATCTTGTTGCTTTTCTGCTTTTTGCTGAAGGAACGGATTCCATTTTGTATGTATTCTCGTTTAATACTGGGTCTGATTAGATTTCAATGTATTTTTGTTGTAGCGATTGTCCTTTGCCAAAATGACCCAAGGTTAAAACGTGGAATGGGCATTAAATGACTGGCAGGGAGGGTGTTCAGTAAAAGGAAGAGCTTGTAATCTGATTTGTCTGTGATCATTTATAAGCAATTTGACACCTAGTGCTTGGGTAGGATTAATCACTAGTTCTATCAGTGGGAGTTTTCAAGCTTTACTCTTGAAATATGATCAACAAAATTCTGTGGTTGGCTTGTTGCTTGTAACTCACCAAAATTTCTTTGTTTTTATTTTTGTCTGCTTAGTTCTTAATGGTTTATTTCATTACAAACGAGTGAAAAAAAACAAACATGTTTATTGTCATTTTTGTTTTAATTTCATCCTTCTGAACAATAATATTTTGAGAGCATATTATTCTTAACTTTTTTAAAACCATAGATTTGTTTTCGTCATTTTTATATGGTTTCAATTTCAACAAAGTTTTATCAAAAATTAGTGAAATATATTTAAACCCGAAATATAATGTGTTTCATACTAATGCTTATCTTTCTGGGGCAAGTAGGTAAAAAGAAAAAAAAAATCTTTTTAATCTCCAGGTTGGGGTGAATAAAAACACTCGCGCGGTACTTTTCAAAAATTCCACCCTTCACGATTCATTTGACTATTTGTAACTAAATTAAAAATAATTCTACCTTGGGGTTATTTGTGTTTTCCCTGAGTTGGTGAAATGTCCTGTAGAGCGGCCCTTTAATTATGTTTGTGCAAGTTTTACACTCTCCTGCTGTGCATATCTTTTGGAATGGCCTTTAGATTTCACAGCCAAGGGCTGTCAAAGAGCCATGGAGATCAGTAAAAAAAACAGGACACACACACACTGGATGTACTGTTAGTGGGGACAATAACAAATCTGGTGCTTGTTGAAATGTGTTTCCTTTTGACTAGCTATGGAAATGATAGGCATGTCTCACTGTGTAAACTTTTTAATTCACAGGGAGTTATGTGGGTGTTGGGTGGTGGTGGTCAGTGAAGGGGCTGGATATGTGGATTGTCAGTTGTATTTGTGTGTGTGTGTAAACTCTGTCAGCTGTAATTTTATCCCATTACTGTGTACTTTATCACCGACACATAATACATCCACTCCTTATAGTCTATCACTTGGAACTGTGCCAACTAAGGGTCTAGACAGTCACTAGGTTTGAAGCTAGCCCCCTCGGCCTCCCCTCTTGCTGAAAATCAGTGGATTGTCCCACTACCTTATTTGGCAAGCAGGTGCTATGGCTCTTTGATAGGTGTAAATTAGGGATGTTTACCTGCCAAAGTGATAAGTGGAGACTCAATTGATTACCAAGGGTGTGTGTTACTGGTCTGTTATTTAATACTCAAAGGCAGAGGGAGAGTGAGAGGACAGACAGACAGACAGGCAGGCAGATTGGATATGAATAATGTACTATGTATGCCTGTTCATTTCAATAGAAAGGAAATGCCCCAAATCATGCACGAGGGCACGCAGTCAAGCTCAATAGCGTATAACTCAGTATGTCTGAAACTTTGACAGGCCAGCGCTCGGAACTATTACTTGTGTTACTTCATAGTAGTGTGTGTGACTTTTAAAGGATTTGTTCCACCCTCTTCCGTACCTGCTGTTGGACTATGCTACGAAGGTTTTCCCAATGAGGGAGTCGTGGAGTCGCTTCAATGAAACAAAGGTAAACTAATAAGGCTTCCTGTGTTTTTTTTTGTAAACAGTTGGTGAGTCCTGCTCAGTGTGGAAAGTGCTTTATTACGACTGTCACTTTGTGTCATTTCTGCCCCCCCCCCCCAATTTTAAAACACTTATTATGAATCATGTTTTTCATTGATTGTGAATCTTTTGAAATATTATTCCATTTATGTATCTACTTTAAAACTTGTGTGTGGTGGACCTTGACAAATACCATCAACAAACTGCCTTCTAAATCTGTCAGTTTTTATTGCTTTAGCTGTGAATATAAAAAGGTGTTATCTTCTGGCTTTGGTTAAAGATGGCCTCTTTAATTCAGCACATCTGACCATTTTATGTTTTAGTCTTTTCAAATTTCTAATTTAAAAAAAGTCTCTTCACAGAGTAAGGTTTTTTTTTTCATTTGTCCGCCTCATTATGTTTCTGAATACTTTGTGTTCCATTGATACAGTCAATCTTTTGACCTTGTGTGAGGGCTTTTAATATCAGGCTGCTGATTGGCTTATCCAACTCCCAATGCTGTGTTTTGATTCGCTGATGTCTTAGACAATGGATAGCAGTGTTTTTTTGTACTGCTTTGGTACATCAAACAGACTTCTGTTTCCTTTATGTGCCAGTTAACAGAGAATTGGAGATTTATCATCACCTGAAATCTGTATTTTTGCTTATATGCTCCTTACCAGTGTTTATCAAGTTTTTTTAGTTTTTATTGTGTATGTTGTGTGATGTTTGTGGTGGCTGCCACAGCATACAGAACTAGTCCATTGTGTTAATGGGGAAATGTCAACAGTGTGGTTTTAAAAAAAAAGTCTGTAATCTTAAATCACTCCTGTAAGACTGCAGTGGTGATATTATCTCACTCCTTTTAAAAAATATTCAACATAAACAAGGGTCTCGCTCTTTTCAAACTACTTAGTCCTGGGAGTCAGAGCGACTGAAGGTTACTCGTAAGAAAGCCCTTTCCCTGAGCAGCTGAGTTTAATCTAGCGCTGTTTGCTGATTCAACTACAAAGTGCAATCGAGATTCTTTGTCTGCCTCACCGTTCTCGTATTGACCAGCCTTTTAAATTTTAAACATAGCTAGTGGAGCGGAATTGACTATAAAATATATCGCGTCATCTATTCACCTTTTATCAGCCTGAGTGGATTTTTTTCGTTCACCTGTCTCTCTTCCTCAATAAATAAAACCCAATGTCAATAAATACAGTCATGTTGTTTATTTAATATTAGCAGTAAATGTTAATATTCGATTTGTGCAAATATAATTTGTTTACAGTTGGTAGTGTTTCTCAAAAAAAGTCTGCTGTTTTCTATTAAGAAAGTTTATTACACTGAAGTAGCGAATAAAATATAATGCACATTTACATAAAGTAAATTGAAAATGGGGAGGGCTTAGTCCAAATTAAAAAAAGCTTCAACATTCATTTGACTGTAATAAAAAATTTGATGTGCTTGAACAATCTGTGTTATGGTTTTGTGATTGATCATTGGTCAAATAGGATTAGGCTTTGTTTTATTATGAATTGCGTTTTATTTATGATTGGATTGATCATCTTTTCTCGGATGATACAGGATTCTTATCTTAGTTTTGTAAGATTATCAGTCAACCTATTTTGACACCTCAAAAAAGAATGACCCCCTAATATGACCCCCTAGGTCTGAAGTTATTCTATCTTTATTTACTGTCTATATACCAAGGAAAAAATAACATTGCATCTGCGTTATCATGTCTATAAATAGTGTTGTTTTTTTTCAAATCATTTAATGTTATTAATTTAGAATTTTTCTTTCTAAAACAAAACAATTAATGCAATCATTTTACAATATAATGTTAATAAAATATAAAAATTATTCCCAAAGAATTGTCAATCATTCTCGGGTACAATATTAAACCATGTTAACTGACACTGTTCACACTCAAAAAATTGTAAGTGGAAATTTCAAATGCCAGTACAGGCTTTGTGACAGATTAGATTAGATAGAAATTTGTATTTTGCTTGGGTATGACTTTCAGACTGTAATTTAAAAATGCATTTCTACATGTTTTACCCTCTGAAGTATCTTGAACGTTTTGCTTCTCAGTTCTGTATAGCTCTCTTTATGCAGTATACACTTGTAAGCAAATACATTGAAATAAAATGCCAGAACGAGTTTCCAGTTGCTGGGGAATTTTATCTATTAAATGTCAGTGCAGCTGTCTCTCTAGTCGACTATGCTGTAGCATCCCTGGTGGACTTGTTAATATTTTACATTAATAACACGTACAGTGCATTGATTGATGTGTTTTATTTTGGTGTGCTGTCTGCCCACTACATGTGCTGTTGCCAAACATCTCCTACGGTACTTGCAGAGATACTGTGTCTTTTCGGCTCCCCTGAATTAGAATGCACGGTGACTGTCGAAATGCCGGCTACCTGGAGCCCAACTCCTGTTTCCCTTCAGCTATTTCTCTGAGTGTAGCTCCACTCCTGGTTCATTTCATCAATCCCCTAGTAATATTGTTACACTCCTGGTCTTAGTATAAGTAGTTGGACAAGCAGCTATGTCTGTATGTCTACTAATGTCAGAGACTCGATGATTCGCCAATCAACTGCGCATGAAATATCAGTTAATGAAGAAAATTGCTGGTAGTTATTTTTTAAAACAGACAGTTTGTCTAATTCAGTTGTTGCAATAGTGATCGAAATGCCTGCCAGAGTAAATAGCGTGTATGAGGATAAGTACGTGGCGTCTCTTCAATATATATAAAATTTAATATAGGTCTTCTCGTCTACACGCTCTGTGTCTTTAGATCGCCTGAGGGAATGATGTGGGAGTTGTTGGCTCTAGTAAGAGAGTAGTTCTCCCTTTCACATCTCATTTCATTTTGGCTTCATTTTGGCTTCATTGGATCTCGCGAGTACTGACAGATCGTTCTTCTACCGGTAGAGAGGAATTTGATACTGGTTAGGTCTCGCACGTACAATTTTGTCAGATAAATTGTGAAAAATAATTTTTTATTAATCGCTTGCAGCTTTTTCATAAAAACCAAAAACAAACGTCTTTTTTGAAAGAATATTCATAATTGCTAGTTTCCTTTCCATTTATTCTTTTGCACAAAAGGTCTTATAAAGGAAACTGGTGGATAAATTTTGTTAGGTGAAAGTAATGTAAGGTTTAAAATCTGAGAGTATAAAAATATAACTGTTTTCATCCCTCTACTTTAAGTTCATCATCGCAGTTTTTCATATCAGGTTTTCACAATGTACAAGGATATATGGAAAGTGCTCTAAGCAGATTTTTTTTTTTTTTTGGGGCCATCGTTAGTCAGATGGCACCTATTGTTAACAGGCTTTTAGAAATAGAACAAAGGACAACTTTACACATCGTTCCATTGAGAGTTTTAATGCCTTTGTTCCAGGCAATTGCAATTTATGTTTGTATCTTTTGTGTTGGAGTGTATTGCCCCCCATCATTACACACTGTAGCTCCAGGTGCCTTGTCAGCTTTTCTGTTTTTGTGCGTTGCATATAGTTCTAATGAATACTACCTCCCAAATCCCCCTCCCCTAAATAATTTTCAAGAGATTCCTAGAATTTGATTAACCTGCAAGCCACCAAAGTCGTCTTTGTCACCATTCATACAATTTGTCTAAAGATTTGATCAAAACTTGTAGTTGAAGGGAAATGATATCTAACTGGTCCAAAATTAACAAAGAAATTGTAGAAATATATATATAAAAAAAAGTGTAAAATGTTACACACAAATTTTAGCAGGAAAATTTTTTTTACATAATGTTGTAGTTTAAACATGTATAAAATATGTTAAATTTTCCCTTTTTGAAATTGTTGCAACTTAATAGTAATTTGTGATTACATTTTATGCCAGTCTCTCCTCTTTATCTGAAAGAACACAAATGAAATTTTTCACTCCTGCACAAAACCTTGTCATATTTCCCCTGTTTGCTGAATTAGTTCTAATTAATCATTTGTGAAATTGATATAAAACGGTTAAAATAATGGTGAAAATAAATCAAAAAGAAGCTTATAATCCTATTTTTACATTAGAGTTGTTGATGAAGGTTTATATTTTAATTGTTGCCTTTCGCAGTAATACACATAAAAACAGGTGATTTTTATTGAATATTATGTTGTATTGTACAGTTACATTGAGAGTTTATTGCCACTTTATGTGTATCCAGCTTTCTGAGTAATGATGACACGCAGAATGCTGCTCTGAACATATCATGCTTCTCGCGTCTTTGTGTCGTAATAAAAATATACTGTATCACAATTTGATATGAAGAAAGGCTCTTAATACACGTTTCGCAAAAAGATTTATCTGACTATGACTTGCTCACCTTTATATAGTACCCTTCCCCTCCTACATTTTTAGAATGGTTCAGTCTGTGAAATAGAAGTAGTTGGCTTATTATGTAGTTTGGATTTTACTAATCATTTCTTTTATATGTTGTTCATGTAGGTGAAAAATTTAATCATAAAATAAGATATTTTTTGTCAGTTGATAAAAATCACACTTGGTGTTTTTTTTTTGTTATTAAAAAAAAAATTCTAGGATATAAAAAAAAAAATATTTGCTTTTTAAATTTAAGATTCCACTGAGCGTTGTAATAAGTGAAACAACATTCACTGACATAAATATAGAATAATAAAGGTTTTTTTTTTTTTTTTAGATTCCTTGCGTTTCCTTATTTTTAAAATTTGAGTATGTAATCAGTTGGCATAATCCGAACACAGTCTGTGATCATTTGTATTGATTTACCTTAATGCAAGTCAGAGTTCATTTTTTTTTGCCTGCTGTGTTGAACTTATTGGTTATGTTAGCCCTAGTGGAGAATTGCTCATGCTTTGTAATTGGTTCGGAGATTAAGATGACAGCTTGCCAGAGATGAAATAAAGCTTACTGGGGGTCAGGTTGATAAGTAAAAGTAGTTAAAGCTCTATGCTGTTCGTTCGTTCAGTGCGTGGAATGGTAAAAAAAAAAAAA